ATTCCCATTCATTCATTCCCCCCCCCCCCCCTCCCCCGACTTCGCATCCTCTTTTTGCTAAAAAGAAACTGGGGATGCGCGCGCACCCTCACACCTGACTGCCAAGCCTTTGGGTTCCCCTGGCACCGCGCTGCAACATCACACCTTCCGATCCCTCCTCCTCCTCTTCTTCTTCCTTTTCCCCTCGCGCGCAGCATGTGCAGAGCAGCACGTTTGATTTTACAGCAGCAAGCGCCGCTAGAGTTTGACCTTTATGGCTTCTCAAGGCCAGCATTGATATTTTTGGGATGTTCTTCGCCGGTGTTATTTTCAGCGGCTCGCTCGCTCATCCTCGCGTTGGAACAGCCGGCGCCCGAGAAAGTGCGCGCGGGACAGAAGTCAATGAGTGAAGAAAATGCAGCACATCAGTCCGACTAATTCATTTGGAAGCTTATCATTCATGTTTGCTCATGTATATGACTGGCTTCCACTGAAACGTGCTTGATATGACTAATCCAGCAAGGTGCCAATACCGACGCCGATTTGAGACCGCATGGACGATTTCCCCTCTTTTAGAATCGCGAAGTCGTTCAGAGAGAGCCGATTACTCCGAATTATAACATCCATGAGGAGCTTACACCAGTGCCACGGGAATTTACGATTCCAGCCTTCCCTGCAGTCTGTTTAAACCTGAAGTGTGACATGCACGTCACATCCAAAACACTATCAGTTCATTAAAAAAACTTTTTTTTGACAGTTTAATCAACACGAAACAGCCGAACTTGATAACCTTCCGTGTGCGATCAGCATCAACTGAGAAAAAAAAAAAAAAAACGTAAAAGTGGAAAAAAAAATTGCATCAGCGGCTTCCACCGTGACGACTTTGGAACAAAAAAAAACAAATTGATGGCCCCGCTCGTGTGCTGAAAAAGGATCAGAGACGTCAGAACCGATCCCGAAAAAAATCTTTCGTCGTTCAGCCACGGCTATCAGTTCAGCGTCATTTCCTGTGTGATTCCTCCAACCTGACTCCTAAGGGTCTGTGTATTTGCAGATCATGTAAAAAAAGAGTTCGGGAAGTATAAATGGCTTTCTGCCTCTGTTTTTCTGTTGAATGGGTGAAAACATTGCCAGTCACGTGGATTTCTGCGTAGAACTAATTGTACCAAAACAGTCACTCCTCATACTGTGGGCAGCTCACTCCAACATGTGCATTCTCCAAAAGGCCTCGCAGTATTGAGTTGTGCCCAAAAAACCCCCCCCAAACAAACCCTCACTCAATGTCCTCCTTTACTCATCATTTTTTCCTCTATTTCTTTTTCAGCGGGTCCTGCGATGCGCCAGCCCGCCGCCTCCAACGCAGTTTTATCAGTTGAACCACGTTCCCCATCTCCGGGCCTGGGCTCGTGTCCAGTCCCGCCCTGTCCGCTGTTTGCTTTCGCTGCGCCCGGCTAAAAGCGGACGCTCACAAGAGCCCCTTGTATAGCCGTGATGCGGATCCAGGCGAGCCGCTCGCATCAGCGTGCGTGAGCCGCGCGCTGCCTGTCCTGCTGAAACCCGTCCAATTTTTGCGTATGGAACTCACCATCCGACACCTATTTCACCGACACCTCCGGTTGGCCAACAACAACCTGACTATTATGATGTGTGCTGGGCCCCGAAGCAAGGAAGAGATTGTAAATCAAATGCACAGCATGAATCATACGAACGAGGGCCACATCTGCCAGTTGCGACGGATTTGAAAGAACAATCCGACGTGCGTTGGCCGTATTGCGCGAGTGAAAGGGAAAATTCAAACCGCCTTGATACGCGGGTGAACGTACAAAACCGCCGTCGCCTTTCTGCACTCACATCACGAGGCGGAACAGAAGATATATACTGTAGTTGAGGTCGAAAAAGTATCAACTAATAACATCTAATTCCATCTTGAAGCCATCACCAGATCACCAACTTTTCTGTTCTCCGTCTAAACATAGAAGCGGGGCCTTTTTATAAGGAGCCGTGGTGCTGAATCTGCAAATGATATTCTCGCCGTCCTCCCGGGCTCACATAATTGTTTGCTTTAGCAGGCTAACGTTTCCACGTTGTATTTATAGGTGTCGAGGCCAAGAGCAAGACCACAGCGGCTCCATAAATAAGCTGCAGCGAGCGTGGCCCGCTCGTTCCGCAGGCCATTACCTGGAGACGCCTCGCAGGTTAGCGGGCCTCGGCCTCGCAGGCCACGAAGGCGAGGCGGTGCAGTGAGAAAGAGAGACACACACACACACACACACACACACACACACACACACACAGACACACAATGAATTAATAACGGGTGCAATGCAAGAACTGCATCCAAATTGTGCCTTTACAATCAAGTCATGACGGCAGAAAGTGAATTGAAAACTTTTTTTGTTGTCGGAGTACCAAGATGCAAATCCACCCGGTGGCCAAGGAAGGCACTGTTCGATGAGGCCTCTTTGGCACGGCGAATGAGGTGACTTGAGCTCGGTCGCTGTCTCGCCGCGGCATCTCTCTTGCTTGGCTTTCTTATCGATTGGTCATTCTGTGGCACACATTGTCACACGGGCTAGGCGGAGCCGCCTCCCTGGGTGAGGGCGGCCAAAATTGTACAAGAGCAGCGACACTTCACACCTTCTTCCGCATCCGGCAGCCGTGTCTCGATCTTTCCGGTCTCCATTAAATAGTTCAAGTCACAACATACTTCCGGTAGTTACGATTAGCATAGCAAGCATTCAAGACAGAGGGAATGATGGCGGTTCTCCCGGAACTTTTCAGCGCAAAAAGCAGAAGACCATCACAATGTCCATTGTAGCGAAGTAAAAACAAAACAAAAAAAAAAGGGGGCAACAATGTTTTGATCCGTTTCATTCGATGTTACTGAATTTCCCAGACTATAAATTGCTCCGGAGTATATGTGGCATTTTTGGGGAGAAATTTATTTGACCAAAACAGCTGTTCCTTCATCATGTTGATGGCAGGGAACCAATTCCAGTTGGATTGCAAACTTCCCGCTTCCAACAGCAGATTTTCTTTTTTTCTTTTCAGCTTATAAAAGCTTCCCTTGACTCGAATCCAGCATTGGCTTGTACTCGTGGGTTATTGTGCCTTTCGGTGCTGTAAATAATAAATACTTGTTGTGGCGGAAGACGCATGCCCAACTGGAATTGAGTCGGTACTACGTTTACAGTCCTCGACTTCAGGTAGTGAGCGCGAGTCTCTTTGCCACCTCTGATTGAATCTCACCAGACAGTGCAGACGTACCCAAAGCTGGCACACGGTGGCACTTTTTCTGCGTCGGCCGCATACGAACGAACATTCATGTTATATTTATATAACATAAACCAGCCAACCGGTGCGCTGCCTGGGAGGATGTTCAGTGCTTGGGCTGAGGATATTTTTACCATCATCCCACAAGTCTGTCACGTCTTTTTGCTTTCATGCACACGCGAGCTGCCACGCGTTCCCCGGCTCCGTCTTTCTGTGAACTTTTGGCCTCTTAGATCCTGTTGGAACCTCACCCAGATGCCCCCCAGGCTCTTGGAAATAAATCTTGCAAAAACATCACACACACAAACATGCACACGCAGCTTCGCCATCATACGTCAGCGGCGCGCGCACGTTCGCGCCGCGCGTATGTGCCGCCGCTTATCTGTGCCCTCACAGCCGCTGTGCAAAAAGCCGGTCAGCAGAGGCCACAGCCGGCCAGCTCCGCAGCCTCCCTGGCAGTCAACGCGTGGAGGAAACTGCGCCTGGCAATATAAACAAGCCGGCGCGTCCGCTCCGACGACGACGAATCCCGGCGCCTCCCTGTGAGGTACGAAGCGGCAACACCCCTTCCCTGCTTTTATACGGCTCGGGTGATAAAATATTCAAAAGCATTGTTCCGCACGGCCATTCGTCCTAAATATTACCGCGCTCATTTGCCGGGTGGCGACAGTGATGATTCCATAAAGCATATGAATGGAGAGAGTTGTCATGTGGACGGAGTGCTCATAATCCTAAATCAGAGGGGCCGCCTGGCACAGCGGGGGTTCCAGCCCGGCGCCTGTAACTACTAATTTGCCTCAGAGTGACCCTTTCAAAAGTGACACCGCGAGATGTATGCATGACTATTTCCAGACCGCAGGCTGCGTGCGTGCAATAATCGAAGCTGTAAGACCGAGTCACACGTGTACACGCTATTCGCCTGAATACATGCAATTCAAATGTGCGACATTTCGGTGATTGCGAATTTAATGTGCTATTGCTGGCAGCGCGGTGAACTCGTGTACGGCAAATAAGACAATCGATTCCATTGCAATGTTTCATTTTGGTCACGCGCTTGTTCCCGCGTGCGTCGGACTTCGAAGGAAAACTGAATGTGAGACCGTATGTAAACGGGATAAACGGGGGGAAACCTTGCGAAGGGCTGAGCGACCACTCAGTAAGTGACTTTGGGAGACTGTTACGCTATTCGCCTGAATACATGCAATTCAAATGTGCGGCATTTCCGTGATTGCAAATTTAATGTGCTTTTGCTGGCAGCGCGGTGAACTCGTGTACGGCAAATAAGACAATCGATTCCATTGCAATGTTTCATTTTGGTCACGCGCTTGTTCCCGCGTGCGTCGGACTTCGAAGGAAAACGGAATGTGAGACCGGATGTAAACGGGATAAACGGGGGAAACCTTGTGAGAGGCTGAGCGACCGCTCAGTAAGTGACTTTGGGAGACTGTTCCGTTGACCTCGAATGAAAATTTCAAGGGAGACTGAAAGTGACCTTTTGACCTCAGTTACATTGGCTCTCGCATGGCAAATCAGCTCCTCTGGAATCGGAATTGCAGTCATTGCAATTGGACTCTTTTAGGCAGACAGTGTCAAGAAAATCAGTGGGGAGTCGTAAACCAAGGACCTCCGTCCATGTTTATATGTGATACCTGTGTGGCAACACATCCAATGTCATCCCGCAGTCCTATCCGGAGTTTCATCGGGAGACGAGCAATGAATCAAAAGATGTTTTCGAGTCGAAAAGCAGCAACAGCAAACCTGTTCTACTCATCCAATATTCCTTGATTTTTTTTTCTGTGTACAGTGTCAAGAAAATCAGTGGGGAGTCGTAAACCAAGGACCTCCGTCCATGTTTATATGTGATACCTGTGTGGCAACACATCCAATGTCATCCCGCAGTCCTATCCGGAGTTTCATCGGGAGACGAGCAATGAATCAAAAGATGTTTTCGAGTCGAAAAGCACCAACAGCAAACCTGTTCTACTCATCCAATAATCCTTGATTTTTTTTCTGCGCGAACATATAGATTCCAAAGCGTGACTGAAAAGGCTTGAGAGTCGCAGCCGAGGTGAGGCGCCTGACACGTACGGCGCCGAGGCTGCCAATCCGGCCCACGCTCTCCTTTACCGAGCGCAACAACAGTCATTAAGAGATGTAATGGATTAGCCACGGCTGGAAGGAAGGGAGACGGAGCGGCGGGGCAAAAAAGAGACAAACCCGGATCGAAATGATGGAGATTGACAGATGAGTAAAATGGATTGGATGGAGCGCTCTACGGATGAGGCGAGCTGAGGCCGTCCGGCTGCAATGGGAGATAATGGAAAGCGATTACGGATTAAAAACAAGGTTTCTCTCATTCCAGGCTTGAAAAGGTAGCAATGGTGCGATTGGTTCATACTGTCACTGAATTTGGTCCACAAGAGCAAGAAGAGAAAAAAAAAAAGTCAAGCCTACTGTCATATATATTTTGTTTTTTTTACAAGTTCATTTGCACTTCTGTGCTTGCTGTACTTTCCACCACTGTTTACTCACTTCCTCGCCGTCTTGGGTTTCCGAGAGAGACAAACACGATGTCTGTGGGAGGACGAATGAGAGAGGGGGGGAGGGGGGGGGGGCGAATCTGATGAGGAAGTTTGCGTCTGAGCCAATCCGCGCGTGTGTGTGTTTTAATCCCAGGAAGGACTTCCTCTGAGTGCGAGCAGGTTGGGAGTTCCGTGGGAGTTTAAGACGAGGCAGGAAAAAGCAGAGGAAGAAGGGAAATGAAAGGGGCGAGAGACTGAGAGGTGCAAAAATGATGAAGGCTTATTAAATCCCACTTCTTACGCACGCATGCGGACGCGAAACCACCCACGGAGAGGCCTCGCGCTCACCGCGCTGCTATACTGGCCGGCACGGTGTGCTGATTATGAGGATTAGACCCCCTCGGAGGTGCTTGGATCACTCAAAGCTCCACGAAAAAGCGCCAAGTCAACATTTTATCGCATCTGTCCAATCGTAGACATTCATTAATCATCACTAATTGCGATCAAGCGCCAAGATTTACACCTCTTTCGTCGACATCACGACAAGTTTGAGAGTCGACACTGACCCAGACATACAAAATAAAAATGAAATAAAATAAAATAAATAAATTGTAGAAATGTCACTTCTTCACTCAGAACTCATTACTCACAAAAAAAAAAAAAAATGCCAACTACATGCACACATCAGCATGTCATGCCAAATCTCTTGTTTTTATTTTCCTTTGACTTTTTTTTTTTTCTGTTTGGTGCTTTCTTTGCGACAGTTATTTGAAAAGAAGCACCAGTCTCAACAAGGGAGTGTTAGGAGGCGAACACTAGTGGCGCAGGAAAAGGTCCTCTCCACTTTTCATGTCTCGTTTGCTCAAAGTTAAGCTCGACTGTTGATTTTACGTCTCAATATTACAGCGGCAAATCTATTTTGACCCTGACGGCGGAGATCGCCCGGACAGGGGGTGGCGCCGTCCTCTTTATTGCAAGCTAGCGTCCCATCCAAATCTTATGCAGGCTTTGAAGTCGCTTTTTACGTATTTGTTTTCAAAGCTATCAAAGTGCATTTGAGGTTCTCGTTCTGTATTAGCGGCATGTCATGCTGAACATAGCGGCTCTCAACCTGGAGGTTTTCCGAGGGGTTATGTAACTCACAGGAACCACATCTTAGCCTGTAATTAGACTTTAGGGAAAAGTCCGTCTGGTAAAACGCTGCGTAATTTCGATCCCCGAGTCCCTGTTCGCCTCAAGGCCATGTGTCAGGCAGGGCTCGTACCACTCGCACGCGCCCGCGCACACACGGGCCAATCGGAGGTCTGCTTACTCACCATCACTGGGCCACATCTGAGAGGACTCATGCGCAACACATTTTGTCTGCCAGCCAAATGTGCACAAAGCACAGCATGGAGACCAAAGCGACCGCAGCCCCTTCCAGACACTCCCAAAAATCGACCTACCCCATTCCCGCCGCCCGCGTTCAACCTCCCGAGTCGTAAACTATCACTGGCACTGATCAAACGTAAGGATTTGCCATTGAAAATAGAGAGAAAAATCATTCTTCACACCCTCCCCCGCCCTCCCCTTCCCACAATTGCTCAGGATATTCCATTTTGAGTGCCCTGACAATTGGGCCTAAAATGCATCGGGAAATTAGGAGAGATGTTGACATTGATAATACCTTGCACATTTTCCATCGGTACTTTACAGCCAGGAAAAAGCAGTGAAAAAAAAAGAAAAACGGCCCGGGTTGCCAATGTCAAAGGCAGCTAAAGAGTGGTAATGTTTTTTTTAAAAAAAAGAGACATCAGAGAAGCCTACTTTGTCCTCTCCGCATGGCAACCTTTTCATTAAAAAGAAAACACATTTCTGTTTTGAATGAAGGCTTTTCGCCGACAAGAGAGCGAGCCTTCTTAAGCGAGGTCAAACACAATTCACCATCGTGCCACTTTTCTGACAACATATCAAATTGTTGTCGCTTCTACTCAGGACACTAATGTGCACCCTGTAAATTGCACCAGCGCCTTTGACTGCTGACAACAGCTAATTGTAAATGTCACAGTTAGTCGCGCGTGTGTCTCGCTGCGGCGCACAATTAAAACTCACCAAGTTCTTTTCAAATGCGGAGACGGCGCCTATGGAAGCTGTAAATATAGATTGGAGAACGGCTGAAGCAGAGCTCAACACTTAACCGAACACGCTGAGCGTTTTGAAGAAGGGGAGATGTATTTGAAAGTGCTGTTGTTGGGCTGACTGAAATGGAGTGAGTGAAAGCATATTGGACTAATATGCAGCATAAATGTTGTTTAACATTTTCAAATCAAGTCAATGACTCTAAATTTTATATGTACACACATATCCGATAAAACTATGGATGCTACAAAGACACGGTTAGAAGCTAACACTCGTGCGAATGCGAACAAATTTGCGGCGTCACAAGTATCTTATGACAAAACGTAGCTTTGATCTGAAAGAAAATGGAGGCAACAAAGACAGAAGTTAACGCTCCTGCTGATACGAACGGATTTGCTTCGTCACAAGAACCCGATGACAAAAAGACTTAGAAGTTAACATTTATGGGAATGCTAACACATTTGCTTGGTAAAATGTCAAAATCTCGCTTTGATCTGAAAGAAAATAGAAAATAGAGGCCGCAACGACAGTAAGAAGCTGATGCTAATGCGAACGAATTTGCATCCCAACAAGTATCTGAAGACAAAATTTCACTTTCATCTGAAAGAAAATGGAGGCGAATGCTTCTAATATAGTGATTACAAAACACTGGGGTGTTGCACGACAGTTTTCACACCAACAGTGCAGTGTTTGTACGACTTCAATCAACATTTATACCCGCACTAAAACCTGTGCAACCGGTAGCCTTACAAGAAAGACAATGTATCTTTTGAATGATTTTATAGCTACATTATTAACTTTGATTCTAGTTAGCACCATCAAGATTAGCAAATGGCGTAGGATCCAAATAATTATTTCTATTTGAGGAGCTGTTGTGTACCACCAGCTGATGTGTGTGTGTGTGTGTGCGTCATGCAATGATTTGCTTTCTCTCATGATTGTGATTACAGGTTGTCAGCCATGCTTTTACTGGAGCTGATGGCTAATTTCGCTCTTTAACATGGTTAGGAGCTGATGGCTAGATTGTCTCACGCACGCACACATGCACACGCACACACACACACACAGAGCACACGTCCAGACCCACATCACACTTTCTCGAGAGCCCGAGGGTACAGCCGACATCCGTCCGTACACGCAATTTGATGGACAAACAAATCAAGCGTCATGTCTATTAAAGTTGACTAATCAACAAGGCCTCGATATTATCCTGTCACAAGGCCCACAAGAGCATGGCGCCTATAAAACTGCCTCCAATTATTCCTGCATACATTGCTGGGCACATGGCATTTAATGAGCCCAGCTCATTAAAGATGGAAATTAATGAGATTCAAAGGAAATGGAGAAAAGCACAGTCCTGATGCATCTGAAGGAGCCGCTAAAAGCCATTTATTACATGAGAGACCGAACGGGAAAACAGGCTTTCCTCAAAGGAGCCGATGAACAAACACCGAGATTAGCCTCATCGGAAATACGAGCGACTATTGACTGTGGGACTGCGGTGTTCTCTCCAAAAAAGTGACATCACTCTGCGCAATCCAAGAGCCGCGTCCTGGAACTTCAACAAGGACGCTACATGAGGGCAGCGAGGTGGGAACAGTGGAGCGGTCCCGGTTCCAATCTCGGCTCAGGCCTCGCGGCGCCACCGTGGGAGGGGCCAAGGGTGAAGTTCAACAGCAATCGCCCCTCCTCCTGCGCCGCGTTGGAGGACGCAACCTTTCAGCTTCAATAAAGCAGGTTGCGTCTTGCCCTCTGGCGACAAAAACAAACCATCTGCTTAACCGTTGACCCCCCGGCTCTTCCTGATTTCATTTCCTCATCCTCTTTCACCACTTCTGAAAAAAGGTGGCTTGGAATCAAGAGGTTGAACCAGTTTAGCCAGTCGGCGCAGGCCTCGCCCATCAAATTGACCTCATCCTTCTTTCCGTTCCCATCCCTCCCACCTCGTTCTCCGTCCGTCTTTATTTAGATTCCACTTTTTCCCCCCCGAGCTCAATCCCCTCCGGTCTCTGCCGTTCGGCCCCTTTGCTGCGGAGGCTTTGGCTCCAGCGGGGCACGCGCTGAGAAGCCGTACGATCAGGAACGCGTCAACTTTTACTCAAGAGTAGAATGTTGATAGCGCTGTCATAAAGACAATGAATGTTGTTTGTTTTTTTTTCTTTGCCCTCACAGAGGCTTTGGCATTGAAACAACCTTGTTCATTTATTCTGTCAAATCCATTTTTCAAAAAAAGCAACCTGGGTTTGTATTATTTATAAATAATGAGAAGATTCTAAGGTTGTTCCGTCTGTTTTTGGTCGGGAATTCACAGCTTGTTGGACTGGGCAAAATAAATAAAGGCATTTTGCAACCATATTTCAATTTCAGATTACATTGGAGATGTGTCCAATCAAGCGGCATTCACATGTGATGTAAATTTGGCTCGGCAGCATTCCAGAAACTAAATTCAAAATCCAACAAAGAGGCCCAGTTTCGACGACAGCCTCAAAGAACCTTTTTTTTTGGGCCATGCGTCAAACTACCTCATGTTTATTTTTGGACTATTTCACCAACAGACACCCAAACTGATTAAAACTATCATAAACTGCGATCTGCTTCGATCGCGAGAGCAAGTGAAAGGAAAGCGATTGCTTTCAGCCCGATAAAACACACAATGCTATATATGCTAATTAGGCCTTTAATAAGAATGTCTAATTAATGCGATGCAAATGAGACGGCGCCATTATGGGACAGGTTTGATAGGTTTGGTATTGAACATCCTGCAGAAAGCTCGGCGTTCGACGCGT